GCAAAACCCAAAATGGAGGAGTGCCAAAACAGGAGGGGGATCTATTCAGTTTCGATACTTTTCGGTTTCGGGATGAGCCTACTCAAATCCCCGTCCTGCGGCACATTTGTCTATTTTAAGTAAGTATTTTATTTGATTTCTTTACACATGTAATTGCATTTTTTTATTTTTTTGTGGTTTTTGTATTTTGTTTTTGTTCAGGTCCAAAATCAAATTTGACTAATTCAAGGAATTAAAGTTTCATTGCATCTAAATAAGGTAAAGTGTACTTTGTTTAATATTATTATCTTATTATTTGCATAAATTTCCTTTTCAATAATAGAAACGAAACAAAAACTTAAACAAAATTCCACTATGGCTCCACTACTCCTTCTCGCTCTCTTTCTCCTCCTCATCTCACTTTCTCCATTTCTCCAGCTTTCTCCTGAGCCTCGAAGTTTGAAAGAGACGGAATACTAGTTTTAACTAAATAAACGGAATTTAACACAAAATCCTTGGCACGTCGCATCCTCAAAGTCGTCCTTCGCGAAAGGGGCGGGGGTGGTGGGCGTGTCCCCGGACCGGGCGGGGCGTGGTCAACGCCTTTACCTGAGCAGCAGAAATTCTTCTATGTGAGTAGACGCGACCACGCCCAGCCGCGGTTTCAGGACTCCCGTCCCGCCCCTTTTTGGATGAAAAGGATCTGCGGGATGACCAGTGCCAGTGTGTTGGTGTGTGTGTGTGTATGTGTACGAGTGTGTGGGTGAGTGAGTATGAGTGAGTGTATGTCAGTGTGGGTATGAAGTACTTATAACGAAACATACAAGGATCAATCTCCAATAGATTATTAAATAGTACAATGAAAACTTCATATACAATATATGCCATATATAATAGATACTCGATATACGATACTCGCAGTGCGTAATGCGTAATAATGCAATAATAATAGCCAAGATCAATATACGTTAAAAGATATACATGTCTAAAGTCCCTACAATATGGTACTCCTCTCGTTTTAGCGGATATTTTTCATTGAGCCTGGGTTTTTTAATATTTTTGGGAGTCGCGGGAGTGGCAGCTTTGATATTCTTTCTTTTTGTTTTTTTTTTTTTGGCAGCGTTCTTGGTCTATATGGTAATGAGTATTTATATATGTGTATGCTCTATAATATTTAATCGGGGAAACATTAAAAGTTTGCATTAATTTACTTTAGTTTAGTTTACTTGATTTTTGGTTTAGTTTAGTTGAGATTGCATGCATTTTGATGTATGTATGGTATTTGCTTAGGTAATTATTTGTTATTTTGTTATTTTCTTTGCCTTTGTATAATAAATTGCTCTTGAATTTTACTATTAAAATTTCTCATAACTCGCCATTAAAAAAATGCTCGTTTCGTTTTGCTCTTTCGTTTGTTTTTTTTTTTTTTGTTTGTTTTTGTGGAGTGTATAAGTGATTTTCATAATATTTTCGTTAGTTTGCTTTTGGTTTTCTCGTCATTTAACATTTATATGTATATTTGTAAGAATTAAACTAGAAAAATTCTAATCTGAGGTAATTATTCCTTTAATTTGTATTCGTGTGTGTGTGTGAGTGTGTTAAGAGAGTGAGTATAATATTGGTACCCCATTATCCTTTTTTCTAGGACAATGGCGGTTAGTTGGGAAGCGTGCTTAGCCTAGAGCTTAGATTTCTATGCCTGGGAGTCCTTAGGGGACCCGAAGCGATCTACTTAGCGAGTGATTACTTTATTTTTATTCGAGGCAGCCACAAAAATGTTTCTTGTCAATTTTGATTAACTTAGGGTAATCTCGTCTCGAATGCTGGATTGTGTGTAAATTTCGTCACAGTTATGAGTTATCGAAAAGTGCATGATTGTTTCGTTACGTTTTCTTTTCTTTTTTTTCCATTTTGTGAAAGAACTAAACCTAAGCTTACCGAAGTACTCGTACAATATCCAAAATAGACGATCGAATTCGATTCCTATGCGAATTTTACAAATTTCAAGCCAAAAAATATACCACATATGATTTTCTTAAAGTTCATTTGATTTCAGATCTCGTTCATCTTTAATGCGCTCACAGTTGGTGTTCCGAATCCAAATCCGAATTCACGAATCCTAAGTACACGTATGTATATATAATCCTTAATCTCTTTCGAACTTAAGTGCTAAGCCAATGCTCACAGATGTTGAGTTTCCTTCGCGATCTCATCTTCCCTATCGATTTCAAATTCAATTTTGCAATTACCAATTAAATATCACATATCGGGGAGCTCTTTTCAATCGGAAATCAAGTGAATTCAAATGCAAATTGCAAATTGCAAATTGGAAATGCAAGTGCAAATCCAAATCGAAACAAAAGTGTGTGTGCAAAATGATTGTTAAGATTGTTAATGATGCCAATTGTAGTGCTTATCAACTATTTTGTGGCTGTCCTGATTCGTCCTTTCGCTTAGCCTAAATGATTCGTTTCGAATGATTCGATTTGAATGGTTTGATTTGCCTTGGTGTTGTCTTCTTACGCGTGACTGTGTGACTATATCCCTAAGATAATGGAATGCGATGATACGAGTGCGGTCCTGAGACTGTGGCAGTGTGTGTGTGTGTGTATCTGTGTGGCATTTGCCTTTGGGTGTGTGTGTGTGATGACTGACATGACTGGCGATGAGATATGTCGTATATGACATGGAAATGGAGATGATGGTTACTACACCGTAATACGTATTAAATTTACACTGAAAGTCCTTCATCTCTGCTTCTAAATGCTTCGCTCTGCTCTGCTCGTTTCGTTTCCCATTTCAATCTTCAAATCTTCAAATCTTCAATCTTTCTTTTTGGTTCTGCATGTGAGGTATTGTCGGGTGCTAAAGAGCCACACACTCGGCTACAAACGTTTCAACAATGAGGTAGAAAGTTCTGTTTGCTTTTGTTTGCTTCGTAGTTAGTCTCTGTGTTCGCTGGAAGTCCTTGAATTCTTGATTAGTTCGCATACCTGAATTGCCTGGATGTTCTATATAGTACTTAGCTTTATCGTATTCATCTTGCCTTGCTTGGAGTTTGTTTCAGTCAGTCAGTCTTGGATCACATTTCAAATATCGACACACACGCGCACAGGATCAGTCCATCGGTTTCGCCTTCTATATCTTTTTCCTTATCTGTATCTTTATCCCTAAACCTTATATTTATACACAATACATATTCATATGCATATGCCATATGCTGTATGCTGTATGCTAAATGCTATATGCTCATGAAGCTTAGGCTATGCTTTAGTGCTAGTCTAGGTAATACATGATCCTACAGAGAACAAAACACAACATCGAGGATTATAAGTTAAAAACGAACCGTGGGCACTGCTAAAACCTAAGTACAACACATAGACACGACTTGGACTGGTGACTTATAGCGAAATAAATGGCAACGATTGTTCGACAATTCATACTCCACCACATCCGCACGGGTGCGCCTCAAATAAGATGTATAATATATATGTAGATATAGTGTGTTGTCTAGTGTAGTGGCTGGTGTGGATGGTGTGGGGTGTGGTGTTAGTGTGCTTCCTACATAACCTATTTGCTAAATCAAAAAGCCCAGAGGCGGCGAGTTGGGGCTCTTGCAGTTTCCGCAGATTGGCTGCCATTTGTGGGCCTTCGCTCGTATTGCTTGCTCAACACTCCAGTTTTTCGGTGGGTCACCAGTGACGGTGACCCACGCCTAGTAATTGTGGATCTCTGGGGACCCAAAGATCTGATCAACCGACTGTTGGTCCACTTAACCAGCGGTTTGTCACACATCGGTTACACACATTATACTGCTCGCACACGCTGCTGCTTAAATGCTACGTAACCCTAGGGATAATTCCAATACAATACAGTAATTCAAATACAATGCCATTAGCAAAATACGGACACGAATTATACTTGTAGTAAGTAAACCGAATTCGTTTCTAGCAAAACCTGTGCAAAATGCCAAAAATGCAACTAAAGTTTCCTCGGGGATCCTATTCCTGCGTATATGTATCTTCTTGACCCTATATACGAGTAAAAATACACTTAGAAGCTAAACAAGTGCAGCCCAATTTGGGATGTGAGGCGAGTGACCTCAAGCGAACTTAGATTGGTATGACTTCAACAAAAAAACTGGGGAGCTGGGGCTGGGAGGTATTACGATAGGTATTTAGGAATTACGAAGAATTGATTTAAGGTTTGTACTTTGGCATGAAATCTTCAACTTAACGAGAACAAACGTGAACAAAAATTCGACTACAACATTGACCATCATTCAACTCAAGTCAGCTTTCTCAGCTTTCTCAGCTTTCTTCTGCGCTTTCAACTCAAAATTCAACTAAGAAATTGATTTAGTGCATCAGGACATCAGGGCATCAGGGCATCAGGGGACGCAGGTAACTCAGTAAGCAAGTTAGCTAAAGAACAACGCAAAGGTAGGGTATAAATCCAAACTCGTGAAACTGGAGTGGGCTCTCTAAAAATAATCCGTTGCATACTGTCCATGCAACGCGGAGTGCTCGTTCTAAGCTATCTGTTTAAAAGCTGCGATTAACATGTTCCTACGTCGAGTAAGTAGACTATGTACTGTGTGGTTCAATTAAGACTCTATCGATGTGACTAAACTGAGGTAGCTGCTAAACTAAGTCGCGATCGGAGGCAACTGGGTCGGGAACCAAGGTCGTTGGGTGGCAGTTAGTTTCCTACCAGATAGATGATGCTGGGCCATACATTTCGGCAGTTCTGTCGTCCGGCACTTAGTTATACCCATTAGTGGGCTTCGTTATCAATGCAGTTGCAACCGAAAATAATGGGTAGCAAACAAATGAAAGCTGGGACAAATAAAACCAAATGGAAATTATTAAAAATATTTCATTTAATCATTTGAAAATTCAACAAAAATTCAATATTAATCGTAGTAATAATAATAGCAGAAAGTAATGTAATTTTATTCCTTTTTTCGTTTCTTTTATTCAAATACAATTAAATTTATTTAGTTTCCATACGGAGTACGAATAATAATAATAATAAAAATCAACTAAAATATTCAACTAAATTACATTAAAAGTAGACATTCAAGTTGAATTGCCAAAATGTGTAGGAGAGGAGGAGCGTAGGGGCGCGGGGAGGGGGATAAAACACTGGGCGAGGGGTTGATTCCTTGGGGGAGGAGGGTTGGATGGGGTTCATAGGGACTTGTGTATAACATAAAAAGGTACAAAGTATACATATATTACACATTACGAATTAGGCATAAACAAAAGTGTGCTAGGTGTGTATATTTAATAAAACAAAAATTACATTCGGGTGGCATTAAAAAACAATCTATAAATTTGGTGAACGAGGGCGGGGGGATTACAAGGTGGTGGGGGCTGGGGGGAGTGTAGTTCCGGAAATATCTGCTGCGCTATATTGCCTTGACCTTGGGAAATCGGAGGAGGACTGCGTTTGAAAGTGCCTAAACTTCACCAATTTGTACATTTCGTCATCAGATGATCTGAGAAAGCTCGGAGGGAGCCATCAAAAATTGGTTTTTAAGAATTTCGGTTAAAGTTTAAACATTTTGCTGCGGCTTCTACACGGTTTTTGGCATTTTCCAGTAACTAAGGATCGTGAAAATATTGAAAGGGTTTTCTTTTGGACTGAGAAAGGGCGCGCAAATATTTCATTTGTGTAACATAAAATGTGATAGTGCTGGTTTTTTTTTTGTTTTTTTTTTTGAGTACAAATTATGAACTAAACAAAAACTGCTTTTAATTGTTTATGAATTGATTACTCGATTTAAACGTACATATTTTGTTTTACTTTGCCTTGATTTATCATAGTTTATATGCATTAAGAAAACATTGTTATTTGTTATTCGTTATTTGTTATTTGTTATTGATTTTTGCTAAGGAGGTAATATAAATTACATTTTAATGTGTGTTTACTCTCGCTCAATCGCCTTCGCTTCCATCGCCTTATTACTCAAAAGACTCAAGACTCCTACTATGTGTGTGATTCATTCGCCGTCTAGTGTCTAGTGGCTGCGATTAATTGTAGTTAGTTGTGATCGGAAGTCTGACTATTACTGCTTTTGGGGCTCTCGTTCGATTCTATCCTTTCTTGGTGGCTGAGGTGGGCATAAGTTTGTGGTTTCATCTCTCGACATTTAACTAAAACAAACACTGAATCAAACTAAAACACGGGCTGACTTACGTAGTAGTTGGTGGTGCGGTTGCCACTGCCTTTTTGGTGCAAGGCAGCTTTGCTTGCGTAGAACTTATACCAATATAATTTGATAGTTTGTAGTGTAGTGTAGTTTAGCGTAGGGCTAGGGGTTACTCCAATTAAATATCTATATAACTATATGCTGTATCTGTGTGACGTGTGTCATGTTTTGTGTGTGTGTGTGTGTGTGTGTGTGTGTGGGGGGGGCTTGCCTATAAATAAGTTCACTCCTCTACTTCCTCCTGCGCGTACATGTATGCTAGATTAAAACCTTAAATTTAGACGAAAATTATATATAAACTGTGCCAAACTTATATATAATCCTCTCAAGTAAATGCCAAAATGTGTAGTTTCTATCAATTTAGCTTGGTTAGGTGTAGGTTTATACGGTATACGGTATACGGTATAGGGTATAGGATATTAGGGTATGTACTTATAAACTTAACGGTAGCTCTATATAAGTAGGAATAACGAAGACGTCTCGTTATCGTGGGTTTTGTGTACAAAAAAAATTTACTATCACTCAGTTTGTCCCTTCATGCGTTCTGAAAAAAATGTCGTTTAATTAACGTGTATTATTTGGTATGTAAAATGGCGGCAATGCTAAATGCCCAAAAGGAGGCGTTCGATTTGTGATTACTGTAGAAACTGCAGCACATGCAACCAAAGATTCCAATCCCGATCCCCTGGGTTTTGTATTTCAAGCAGATCCCTCACCAAAAGTCACCAAAGTGGGCTAAAGCGGGTTGTGGGTGGGAGTTCAAGGATGGGATTTCACAGATATTCGAGGGGTTTCTTGGATTCCGAACAATATCACACTGCTGAGAAGTATGCGAAATAATGTGCAACCAAAGATGACCGCTTATTCTAGGAGCATTCACAAGTGCTTTCGGGTTGGGGGTCTTACATTTTTTCTCAAAAATCGTAATCCTTTCGAAGGACAACTCACAGGGTTACAAATACATTTTCAATGTTCACAGGGCATGAGCAAATTGGGGAGGTCACAGTTTGGCTGTCTTAATGGAGGCAATTTGGTGTGGGGTCGTCTCGGGGTTTAGACATTTTCTGAAAATGTTCTGGCCTGGCCTACTCACGACTGGGTGTGGGTTTAGAATTTTTCATAAAAATTTTGTCCTCTCGAACGCTCACAGTGAAGGTTCTTTAAGAGCGCCGAGCCCTCGCAGCTGCAGCTTTCCGAAATGGAATGCTGCTTGGGCAGGACTCGGCACTCTGCTCACAGATGATTTGACGAAACTTACAGGATCTACGTTTAAGGGTTCGCAACGAACCCGTGGGATTCGGGGAATGGGGCAACACAGCTGCTGCTGATCGATTTGAGTTTAGGCTGCCTAAACATTTGCTCACAGTGGGGCCATTTATCAAGGGGTTTTACTTTTAATTTTATTAAAATTTCACGACATTCGAAAACGGGGAAAGTAGGGGAAACGAAGCTGGATAATCTAACACAGTTTCTGCTGATCTTGTTGGGGGTTTAGCTGGCCTAAACTTTTCTTCACAGACCGGGGTAATATCAAGCGGTGTTTTAATTTCAATTTCATTAAAACTTTCACAGATGGTGAATATCAAAAGGTTTTTACTTTCAATTACATTCAAGTTTTCACAGAATATTTAAGGTTTAGGTTGCCTAAATTCCTTTCACAGTTGATTGGGAATTGCCTTGCATTATTTTTCACAGATGGGGACATATCAACGGGTTTTTAATTTTCAATTTCATTAAAAATTTCACAGAGGAGAAAGGTTTGCAAAAACATTTAGTCTGCCTAAGCAGTTTCACAAAGGGGGAATTTTTATTTAATTCGATTAAATACTCACAATTTCGAGTGGTTGGGGTGAGGACTGTGGGATTGGAAAGGACTTTTAACCCATGGATTTGGTGACTTTTCTAAGCACGGAATAAACACAAAACAGGAAACATTGAACCGCTCTATAAATTGCTGGATGTTTGCTTGCATACCATATTTAAAATTTAGAAAAATCGACCTTACAACCTACTAAACCTAACGATAGTGAGTGCCCGCATGTGGTTTGCTCGCACTCAACCTTTAGAGATCCATCACATACGGCTGCTCTGCTATTTAGACAAAGAGAAGAACCCTACACATGTACAAGAAGATCGCTATAACCTAACACTTAGACTTAATAATTAATGATCACGCTGCGCCGAAAGTATTTGTATTACATTTTCATTTCTTTGTGGACTTAACTAGGAGTTTGGGGGCGTGGGTGTGGTCGCCTGCTTGAAATACTCCTGAAAGGGGGTTGGTGGTGTTGCGAGGGGGTGGTGACCTTGTTGCATGTGCCGCCTGGCTGCTATGGGTGGGTGGATGGGTGGGTGCTTGGGTGGTTTGCTGGGGCTGAATTAGTCTGAGGACCTAACTGAACTCTTCTGAACTGGAGCGAGAAACTTAATCGGTTCTAGAGGTTCTCCTTTCGCTTACTAAAACTAGGAATAATTACCAATCGCTTAGGTAAAGATGTGCAACTTATCGATTATGTGTTTGTTTTTAAATTTAGGTTGTGTAATTTTACGTTTCATAAATTGTAGCAAATGTTTCATGTTCTCCCCTTCTAACTTTCTGTTATACTCTCCTACTCTACTCCTACTCCTTCTCGCTTTTATTTTTATAATGTTTTGTGTTATTGAGCAGCACAGCAATTATCATGATTTGTTTAAACAATTTAATGCCCTGCCTTCAATTTTTGCTAAATAAAACTTTTCCCTCAATCGTGATGTAAATGTTTCTTTTTTTTGTCGTCCCTTCATCTCGTTTACTCGTTTTCCCTTTTTTTTTTTGTTTTACGTTTCGGTTTGTTTTTTTTTTTGGTAAAATGTATAAAAAATTTGCGTTATAAAATAAAACTAAAAATTGCTTCTTTTCGTTTAGGTAGTTGTGTAAACAAAGAACTAAAAAACTCAACAAAAATAACAAGAAAATTGTTTTTAGTTTGCTTTGTTTTCGCTCGGTTTTAGATGTGTTGTGTTGTGTGTGAGTGCGTGTATAAAAAATCAAATGATTTTAAAAACTAAAACATTCGCTCCAGGAGTGGCTCATACATGGCCTCTCTCCTCCTCCTGCTTACTCCTTCTTTTCCACAATTATCGTGTTTTTCAATTTAGCTAGAGTAACAAATGCTGCAGGCTGTGGTGGCTCCCAATCCCTCGTCTTAGTTCATGTTGAGATAGTCGTTGAAGAGCTGCATGCAGGCAGCTGCGCCGCCGCCAGTGGGCTCCTCGTTGTACAGCTGGCTGGCGTACTCCGGAAACCTCCAGATGTTGGCCGCCTCCAGGAGCTCGCCGGCCGAGGAGGAGGAATTCGAGCTGACGTCGGAGGCATCGGCCTTGATGTCCGGACTGATGCTCAGGCTGCCCAGGAGATCGGTGAAGATGTCGTGGCTGCTGGCCGGCGTCCTTTGGCCTGCGGATCCCGGCAGCTCCCAGATGTTCGCCTTGCCATAGTGCGAGGCGCTCCATCCGTTCGAGGAGGAACTGGAGCTGGTCAGCGATGCTGTGGGCGAGGCTGCATGTGGCAGTTGCTGTGGCACCTGCTGCTGCACTTGCTGCTGCTGCTGTTGTAGCTGCTGCTGCTGCTGCTGTTGCTGGCGCTGCAACTCCTTGAATCCGGAATCCCTGAGTGCTGCGGCGTTTTGTGGCGAGCTTTGGGCCGCCCACAACATCATCTTGGAGCCATCGTTGCCGCCACTGCTGCTGGCCGTCGGACTCAGCGAGGGCTGCGATCCACTGCCCGAGGAGCAGCCACTGCTGCTGCTGGAACAGCCCCACAATGCCGAGATGGCATCGCTCTGGCCCCAAGCGGGCTGCATCTTGTTGCCTGTATTGCTGGCTGAATTATGGCTAATGATTAAGTTACTAATACTGCTGCTGCTGCTGCTGCTATTGTTGCTGTTGTTGTTGCTTGTGTTTGTGTTGGTCAATAGGAGGCCCTCGAGTCCTTTCTGTGTTGCATGTTGCTGCTGGCGATGCTGCTGCTGCTGTTGCTGCTGCTGCTGCTGCTGGTACTTGCTCATCACATCTGTCATGGCCATCATGTTCATGGTTTTATGGGAAGTTGAGCTGAGCTGAGGGAAGTTGACCCTCTGAAAAGTGCTGACCGCAGGCTGATGTGGCTGCTGTTGCTGCTGCTGCTGCTGCTGTTGTTGTGACTGTTGCTGTTGTGTCTGTTGCTGCTGCTGTGGTGCTGGCTGCTGCTGCTGCTGCTGCCGCTGCTGTTGCTGCCGCACCTGCTGCTGATGCTGCTGGGCATGCGGATGTGCTCCAATCAAGTCCGGATTGATTTGCTGCTGCAGCGGCGCCGAGTAATCGATGGCGGCATTGAAGAGCGGCTGCTTTGGTGGCTGCTTGCCGGCGATGGTGTTGCTGCTGCAGCCGGAGGCCGTTGGAGCGCCCTGGGCATTTGGCACCTGGGTGGTGGTGGCACCTGTTCCCACTGGCGACTCCAACGGGGCCTCATGTTATGCGAGCGTCGGCAGCCGCGTCGCCGGGCTCTTGGCGTAGCAGAAGCTCAGCGGCTTCACGAAGTGCGTGTCCTGCGTGTTGCAGTACGGACAGGTCACGCCGTGCGAGTAGTCACTGTAGAAGCTCAGACGCTGCTGCGGATGCATCAGCATCTTGAAGCAGTTATTGCACTGCAATGGAGTAGATGGGTAGACGAAAATGGGGAAAATTAAAACGAATGCCATGTCTAAATTGTTGTATTCGATCGAAGGACTGCCCATATAAGCTTTTATACATTTCGGGATTGACCCAATATAAACATCATTGGGCCATTAACTCACCTTGAACCGCTCGGCGCAACAGGGCATGGCCGCAAAGATGTCGTAGGCGTACATGGTGCCCAAGACCAGGCTGGAGCCATCCCACGGCTCCTTGCAGAATCTGTGAGCGACGCAAGAAAAGGCACAAATGTATCATTAATTTATGGCTTGCCTCCACAATTCCCCCGGCCAGATGCTCACCTGCAGTTGATGACGCGGCTGCTGGAGGTTCCGTCCAGGCAGCTCATGCACACACAGGTCAAGTAGAGAGTGCGTCCCTCGTATTTAACCTGGAAAAGGGGAAGCAAAGAGGATTGCAGTTGGGGTTGTGCGAAAGCGGAAGCGGTTGCAGACAAAAGCACAAAAAAGGGGCAGGATCCAGCCGCATAATTCAGGCAGGAGCCCAGGAGCCCGACACACCAACAATGAAAAATTGTGGCAGGAAAAAGAATGAATTGCGACAGGGCGACTTCTAAGCTGCTGAATACACTGCGCCAAAAATTGGGTGGTACGCTTTGAATAAGTAGTGCAATGCAGAACTGGAGTTACCAAAACTTATAAAAAGCAAACATTGTTAAAAATGCCATTCTTGCAACTGGCATTTGCAACACATAGCATACATAAAGGATGTTTGGCATGGCCAGAAGTAGTGAGTAATCCTCTGGCAAACAGACTGTCAAAGATCCATTTTTACACAGTTGAGAAACTTGCAAGGGAATTATACGTATTTTTTGCCATTTAAATGGCCTTCAAAGGCTTGCCAAGTCAAACAAACCGCCAGTTAGCAAACAGCGCCCTTTGTTAGGGTATCAGCTTTCCACTTTTGTCAAAGGGCGAGGAAGCGAGGGGCTTGGCATTCCTGCAAGAAGTGGCAGTGGAAGTGGAGCTGCATATAACGCGACATAATAATTTCAAATAAAATGCAAAATGCATAAACTTGCCCAGGAGATTGCTGCTGCCGCCCACGAACAGAAGACCTCGCCGCGTGCTGGAGTCAAAGTCAAGGGAAGGAAAAGAGCTGGAAAGGAGGAGGCATACAAAGGAGCCAATTCCGATTGCAGCACCAGCAGCAGCAGCAGCCGACGCAGCTGGCAATGAATTATAAATCCAGGCTTAATTTAAAGCCCCCCAAAAGGGGCGAGACTGACAGGCAGCTGGTGGGGAAACCAGGGAAAACCAGGGAAAGCAGGCACAGTATCAAGCCCATGGAAGCGTAGGTCGTGCGTGCAGTTCCTCCATATGAAATGCAAAATGTGCAAAATGCAAACGGCGAACTGCAAACTGCAAACTGCGAACTGCATACTGCAAACTGCATACTGCAGTTTTTGCCGGCTCTTCTTTGGGCGCTGGCGTAATTACGCTGACTTAAATGGGTCATAAATTGCGGGGTCTGTCTGCAGTCCCCCGAGTCGCCAGGAAAATGAGCAACTGGGAGTGGCGGGCGCTGGAGTTAGTTCAGCCCGTTCCCGCTAATTGCAGCTGAAAGTTCTCGGGGGCACGTGGGCGAGTGAAAGCTGCGTGGGCGTGGGTGTGCAGCAGCCAGAGGTTGCCATGCCACATTTGACGTTTTATAAATGATGGCTACACGGAGAGAAATGCAGCTAGAACGAGCGCAGAAAGGCGTTTGGGTGGCGGGTAGTGGAGTGCACTTGGTGCACAGTTACTCACCTCGATGCAGCCGCTGGAATGCTGCTTGGGACTCAGGAAGAAGGAGCCATCGACCAGAGGATAGCGATCGAAGACGAGCAGCGGCTCCTCGCACAGAATGCAGGCCACCCGGCTCATCTGGGACTGGGCCAGCGAGGAGAGGATGAAGAGGCGCGTCTCGTCGTTGCCATGGTTGCCCTCGTCCTCAATCTGAAAAAATATAGTATTAGTAGGTTTCAATTAAAGCAACACTCTTCAACTTGAAAGCTGTTTGCGGCGGCGCTTTCGATGGCCAATTTGAATGCAGAAGCTGCCAAATTATTGAGTTTAGCTACAAGGTTCGTTTACCCCGCCGCGCCCGCTGTCAACTTGAAGGTGGGTGGCGTCCAATGAGCATGGCCAATATATGTCTGCCGAGGGACCAAACGAGGCAACCAGCCAGCCAGCGTCTAAGCGCCAACAAATGAACCATAAAATCCAAACGTGCTGTGTAGAAACCGTGTTGTCTAAGCCAAAGTGGCTAACACGTTGCCCAAATTGAATGCACACACACACACAGCCAGCTAGCCAGGTGTGTGGCTTGGCCTGGTCCGCAAGTTAAGTCAGCCAGTCCAGGCCAATTCCCAAATCGATAATCAATATGGCGAGCCGGCAGAGGAGCCCAACCCACCGCCGCGCTTCATTTTCCAGCAGCTGGTAATAAAGCCGTCAAAAAGGCAAAAGGTGCTGAAAGGATCCACGAAATATGGCCAAGGTGGGAATAGTTGCAGCCACCACCACCATCGCCAATCAGAGCCAACTAACCCAATGATGAGGGAATATTTGTGACTCTGTTTGGGTAATTGACGTTGGTGCGGCACCTGACCAGACGGAATAACAGCACTCAGGGAGCAGACAGCGAGTGAGTGGTTGAGTAGCAGTCCAGGTTGAATAATTCAGTGGCAGGACATTGGAATGTATCGGAATTAAGCCAAAGGACACGTACAACCAATCAATTGCAGCTGAGGAATGTTTCTGTTTCTGTTTCTATTTCTATTTCTGTTACTGGGACAGGTTTAATGCACTTTTAATAAGGAGCAGAGCTGGTTGGCTCAAGCCCTGCGGAATCTTTTGCCAATATTTGCTGAGAACTTGTGCTGTTCCATTGGAGATGACACTCTCTGCTGGGTGCCGCCTCTCAAGCTAAAATAATCAAGAAATTAATATTTGCACGGGGCGCACAATGCAATGTTTGTTTGCCAACTTCTTGGGGGCCAGAAACAGAGCTCATAAATCCTGGAAACAATAAAATCAACTCCCAGCATTGTGGCACAACAAACGGCTTCGATTAATGAGTGTTTGCATGCCGAGCAGGGGAAATTGGGAGACATACGCCGCGTTGGGCGATACGAGGCACAATTTTCACTCATTAAACAAAAGAATGGCGGCGGAAAATCTCGGGGTGAGTTGCTAAAGCAATTAAGTTGATTGCTCGAGGAGAATGTGCGTGTATCTGTGGGTGAGTGCTGCTCTCGTCTGGGATTACGGACAATAACAATAACCCAGATAGCACAGCCAACTGCAGCAATAATCTTTTGCTCCTAACACGGCCAAAAAATAAAAATAAATGACATAAAAAGGATGCAGACGCACATGTAGCGCACATTCCATCAAAACGTTGGCCTGGCTGCACTGGGAGAAACGCTGCAAAGTCAACTAAACTCTTATAGCAGATATATGCCAGTTAGCTATCATGACAAATAAGTGCTCATAATTGATAGCAACATGTGTAAGCTTTGTAAGCCCGCTCGCTATTCAAAGTTATATGCCTGGACTTTTTCTCCGTTTAAGCCATAAACATTGCGCAGCTTCGAGTTGGCTACGTGACGATTTGCTAATTTCAACTGCCTTCAGTTCAGTCGAGTTCTTCTGGGCTGACGGTCGTTGGCCAAGAAGCAGAGAATGAACTCAGACGGGGCCAAAGGATTGAGGACCTTTGCCTCTTCATAATTTATGAGAATCGCGTGTGCAAAGTTTTGGCAAAACCGCAACGGGGCAACTTCAACAAATTATAAGCATGAAATTATTATTGCTGAATTTGGGATTATTGCGAGAGTGAAACAACTTTTCATGGCGCTCGGCAGAAGTCAAAAGTCGAAGTGCAATAAACTCACCTCACTTTCCTCGCTTCGAGCGGGTTTTGGTTTTCTTCGGTTCACGTCGAAGGACCCTAATGAAGCCATTGAGTTGTCACTTCGCTCGGACGCATAAATCAGGCAGCACTTCCTCCCGACCATAAATACCAGCACCCAAAACTCAGTGGGGCCACAAATCAAAAAGGTTTTTCCGCCACACCCCAAATACGGCGGCCCAAATGGCGGAGACAATGGGCCAAGAAACTACTACAATTCAATTGAATTCGCTTTCGATGCTCCTCAGCTGGGCTTCAAAGTGCTGGGCTTTTCATAAACACATTAAATTAAATGGCATTTCTTGGCTTGAGGCTTAAGTGCCGACGGAAGTTGGTGGCGCAACTACCGCTGCTCTTAATCCATTAAAAATGCCACCCATAAATATATCACACGACGAATTTTGCTGCCCCTCCTGTTTGCTTATCTCGATTATTCTTGGGCTCCTTTAAGCCTTATGCAAAAGTTAATAATGTTTGTGCAGACAGCAAGCAAACATGTGAGCCTCATCGCCTGAGTTACCTTTTTCCCAAACGCTTAAGGAGCCGGGAAATTCCTCATTAGACGCTGTGGGCGTAACTGCGCGGAAAAACTATTTTATTAACCCGGAAAAACTGTGTTTGAGTGGGGAAATTGAAAAATTGTGCGCGCTTTAAATGGTTATCCGCTCGAAGAACCCGTAGGCGTTCTTTGCCACAGAGACAAAGAAATGGCAGAATAAATTTGAAAATTGTCATTGGCAAAACTGACAGCAGTCATGCTCCTCGTGGGCGGGTTGGCTGTTTGGCGCGGTGGGCGTGGCGTTAGGTGCTTAATTCAAGCAGTGGAATGAGTAGTTGGCTGTCTACCCAGAAGACACTTTGATCAATGGCCCAGATGTGACCTGTGGATTAGGAGTTAAAGCCAATGACAAGCCAGCAACAATGCCACCAACTTACTTCCCTCAGCCAACAAGGCAAACAGACAAGACACAAGACACAACACACAAGACACAAGGCACAAGGCACGGGGCACTGACAATGAAAATGGAATTGCAGTTGCGGAATTGCGGGGATGGGGCAGTGCCACTTTTATAAATGAAATGGAGTAATAATATTTTGCGACAACAAATGCAACAGCAAAAAACGTAGCATACCGCCAGGCGCAGCTGTGCAGGACTCAGGGAAAGCGTAGGAAAACTGGAAAAACAACGCAGCCAAGCAACAACTGCACAGCGAGAAATTAGCAAGGCAATTGCTAACGAATATTAATTTGGAAAGCAAATCGGAATATAATAAACCAAACTCTCAAATTGTTTTTATTTTAAGCTGTTTGATACAATAAACGAAATGCCCAAGATTTTCTTTTTAAGAGGTGTAATAAGTGCAAATTTTCTTGCTGTGCAGCCAAGCATGGCAGACAAACAAACATTTCAATAAATTCAAAAAGTACGAAGCCAGACAATGAAAACTGCAGCGAAACGAAGGGAAAACAGGCAAAAGGAGTGCCAAGTCAAAGGGAAAATCAGGGGCGGTGGAAAAGCGGTGGGAAATGCACTCCACTCACTGTGTTGGAGTTGTACAACTGTGAAGTGGCTTAAAAGCTTGTCGAGGGTGGCAGCTCCTAAGAGGCAGCTGCTACTCGCATTGTTTTCCCTGAAAATCTCATGTCATTTGCACTTAATTCAAATGCGCGACACAATTGCAAAATAAAAGTACACAGAAACGAAAAGCGAGCAGGAGTTTGAGTCTGAGTTTTGCATATCTAGTCGGGTTTGTCTGGGTTATAACTTCATTAGGCGGCGCAGTCGAAATGTTTTTTTGATAAGCTGCGTTCTCCTTGGCAAGGTTCAAGAAACTGTTGGCCATGTCCTGTGCCAAGTTTTTGATGTCCAACGTGAGAGGGAAAATTTTCCTTTCACTGGAAGCGAAGCGCTCGAAAAGGAAATTTTAATTTCTCTGCCCTCGAGATGTACGGATTTTGCATCTTTTGCATTTGCCATTAGCCACAAGTGCTTGGCCATGGCCCTAAGCAGCTCGCTCTTGGCCGGTTAGTATGCTCCCTCTGACCTTTAAATATCAATTTGCAAATAAATCGCATTCGTTGGTTTTGTTGCCATAGACTGGACGACTTGGGCCGTCGTTATTTATCGTGCGTTCAATGTGCTATGGCATAATGGCTTCCTTCGATTGGCTAGGAGCGGATGGGGATGAGCAGGTTTATGTATGGGGCCAAAAAGGCAAGGGCCAAAACAAATGCAATTTCCAATTTCATTTTTCGCCCGAGCAACAAAATAAAAGCTGGCGCCTTGAAGCATGCTTTTGCCTTTTCTCGCAGTTTATTGAACTGCAGGCTGCTTTCCCTTTTTTCATTTCTCGTTGGCTGGCCGGTCCTCCGTCCTCCGTCCTGCGTCCTCCTTCAGTTTAAACTTTATTCTCGGGCATAACAATTATTTTTATATGTAAAGCAAATTTCAAAGGCATCTCCCAGACATTCGCCAGACATTGATGGTTATTGGATCCGCGTACTCCACTCCACGCCCCCGCATTTTCCACCCGCTAAGCAGGCAATTTAAATGCATTCGGTGGCAGTTAATAGTTTTATGATTGTGCCCATGCCAAACTTAATTGTTTAATTATTTTTTAAGGCACTCCTTTTTGGTTTCTTTGGTTTTTTTCTGCATTTTTTCCTTCCGTTCGCCGCTGCTGCATTTTACGGAGTCACAGTACATTGCTTTGATTCGAACTTAATCCCCAGGACATTAGCAGCCAAAACTAAACGAACTGAAAGCCATTTCTCCCGGGCGAAGGCCACAGAAGCCGGGGAAGGGGAAGGAGTAAGTGTATCCTCTCTGGTGTAATTTCTTCCACTTAACTTAATCCCCCGATGCTTTACGGCAAACAAACATATGTATCGTGGCGACTGGGTAGGTGATGCAACTCACTCCTTCTCATTTATGTAATTGCAAGGACGAGGGTTTCTGTTTGCTGCTTATCAACTTGGCAACGGTGCGTATGCGTTATGTTTTGTTTTGAGATTGAAAAGGAAGAAGAGCTTTACATA